TTGAACTCTTAAAAGTGATCGTTACCAAACACTACACACGGAATCACTAGGCAGAGCCTGTCAACTGGTTGCTTCTTCATTATGTTCATCTTCATAAGTAAATTGAGGTGTTTCTAAAGCAGGAAGAGGTATGTCTTTATCAAACTCACTCTCAGTGGTCTTGGCACCGATTTCTTTACACGTAACTGCCTGATGTTCTCCTTTTAAATCTTCATTATAAACATCCCTATCTTTACTCTCTTGAATTAGGTGAGCATTGCTAGGAAACAGCTCTAATTGAGTTCCACGCTGGCTCTTGACAAGATTAAAATCAAGCATTTCATCTTCAATTTCATAGCCAAATTGAAACTTCACAAACTCACGAACATTGTCTAGCGCTTTCTTCAACCTTGAGTTCTCCCTGTTGCAGTCCTCTAATTCCTGACTAAGAGATAGAACTTGCATTTGCAAGTCACTGACTTGTCCTTCAAGATCTTTTACTGCTGATTTCTCATCTTTAGAACCAGCACAGTCAGAGGAAGAGCTTGTGGATGACACCGAGAAGTTCTCTGCTGATATCACTAAACTACTAGATTGCAAACATTCTGTTTCTTTTTTAACATCAACCAATTCTGTACTGTTTTTCATTTCCACTTTTGCTGGTACACCTCTGTCGCTTTTGGCCATTTCATGATTTGGTCTTTCTTGAATTACCCTTGCCTGTTCCTGCATTCTCTTTTGTTGTTCAATTTCACATCTCTTCCATTTTTCTTTCAAGATTCTTTGCTGCCGACCATGATTGTTTACCTGTAACTGCAAGGAAACCAGAGCCTAGTAGGAGACAGGAATAAATTAAAAACTTTTAGAATTAAGACATATTTCCCTTGAGGGAGGTGCAGTGGCCTAATGGTTAATGCTCTGTACATTCCATTAGGGAGCTTAAACAATGACCACAGAAACACTGAAAATGACGCCTAGAAAAAATGAATTAATTTTAAGTTTTACCTCCAAATGTTGCAACTTGTTAGATCTGTTCAGTATGCACATTGGTCTAAAAACCTGCCCAGGCTAAATATGTAATGACAGAGTTAAATTCCAAAAGGAAATACGAAAAATTACCCAGTGTGGTTCACATTCTCCAAAATACACAGAACTTGGTCATTTCAAGTTATTGTTTTGCAGAGGATGGCTACGAAATGTACTTTATAAGGCATAAATACAGCCATTGTTCTTCTCATTAAACCTTTTGTTTGGCAAAGTTCTCATTGGCATTGCTATCATGGCTTGCTTAAGCTCCCTATTGATTCCTAGTGGATGACCAAAAGGAATTTGCTTGATGTTTACCATTAACATGCTGTGCATGTGTATTAATATTAGAAAAAATTTCAAATCATACCTGTTTGACCTGGGTCATCTTCATTGCCTCCTGGAGAAACTCTGAAGATATTTAGGTTAAAAGAAACTATTAGCTTCATAGTCACTAAGAGCAGCAAGAAAATCCAGACAAGTCTAATGAATTATGCCGATTATTTAGTCAATGCTTCCATGTCCATTATAATCATATGGCTAAGGTCATTCATTATACACAA